GCCCGCCGCGCCCCGGGCGGGGCCGAGACTTCCGTCGGGCCTGTCCTCGGGGGCGGAAAAGAGGGGCGTGATGACTAGGGGGGGGTGGATATCATGGCGGGGGCCATGATATTTCCCCAGATTTCATGGCGCCTCTTCTTATTTCGTTACGTCCCTGGCCCCCCCGCTGGACCGCGCACATGCCGCCGGCCATGATTTGCACCCCCCCCCTCTTGGACACCCCCCTCTTGGCCGCTCCCGATGTCCCTCTACAGTGAGGAATGTTCAGAAATGGTAAAGGAAAAGTCGGGTGACGATTTTTTGGAGTACTTTTTGGCCATTTTTGGGGTATTGTCTCTGACTATGTTTCATTTTTTTGCCCAAGATCCCTCTGTAGGGGGACATGCCCGACCTCAGCGCAGAGGGGGTTCGTCTGAGGCAGCGTTGGGGGGGGATAGGCTCCAGTGGGTTGCGTCAGCGGTTCGAAGTGGGTCGATGTTTTTGGACCTTCTCGTAGGCTCTCGGCGGCTTCCCAGCCTCGGGGTGCTCTCCGGCAGCTGCGCCTCGCCGAGGGGCGTCCCGGGCTGCCCGGATCGTCCGGAGCGGCCGCCGAAGAGCCGAGGTATGGCCTGAAACCAGGGGGCAACGATCTGGGGGGGCAGGGGCATGGGGGGAACGCATCGACCCCGGTCGCCCACTCATCGCCGACGGGGACCCTATATCATCGAGAACAAAAGAACCCCGAGCCCTGATAACTCAGTGAAGACGTGGCCTCACGTAGGTCCCCCCTTTGAAATTAGGGATGCTGTATCCGGGCGGGTCTGGTTCGATGCATCTGCAGCAAAAGACCCCCTGCCCCTGATGTTTTCGGCCCTCCTAACTTGGGTCCCCTTCCGAAAGGGTTAGGGGTCCTCTGACTGCTAGTCACGACAGCCCCACCCAGCCCAGGCACGTATACGGAATCCGCCATCGGCGGGCTCTGCCGATCCATCGGCCGTGCATCGCCGATTCCAAGTCGATGTTTCCCCCCCCAGAGCTGGACCCCCCCTTTAATTCTCGTTGCCCTTCACTCGCCGACGTGGCCGACGCATCGCCGATGCGATTCCATCCTCCGACCCCCTCTACCACGACCTTGTCTAATTCACACGCGCACACACACACACACATTTTTTTGCGTCGGCGGCTGGGCAGAGTGACTGCGCTGGCGATGAAACGTTGGAAGATAAACGAACGCGAATTCGGCCACCGTGCAGAGCGAGGAAGGAGGAGGCGCCAGGCGCCGGCGGGAGGGAGGAGGAAGCCGGGCACACACCAGCACACATCCACACATACACAACACACGCAACACAACACAACACACAGCACACACAACACACAGCACACAGCAACAACACAACACACACAACAGACACAACACCCAGCATACGCAGCACACACAACACACAACACAGACAAACACACAACAAACAATACACAATTCACACACCACACAACCCAAAAGTCACAACACACAGACAACACACAACACACAACACACACAACACAACACACGTAATACACACAACGCGCAACACACACAACACACAACATACACACAACACACACAACACACAACTCACACCACACACAACACACACACACAACACACAACACATAGCACACACAACACACAATTCGCACAACAGGTACAACACGCAGCAAACACAACACACAACACACACCCACCACACAACAAACACAACATACGCAACACACACAGCACACAGCACGCAACACACAACACCCAACACACACATTACACAGCACAACATACAACACAATCAACACAAACAACACAACACATAGCACACAACACACAACACACAACACAACACATTCACAGTTCACCCTGCACACAACACACAGCACACACAGCGCACACACAACACACGCAACACACAACACACAACACACAACGCACAACACACAACACTCACACCACATAACACACAGCACACAACGCACAACACATACACACCGCACACATCACACACAGCACACACAGCACACACAGCACACACCACACAACATGCAACACACAGCACACAACACACAGCACACAACAGACAATCCACAAGACGCATCACACAAAGTCAAGCACTAGCACACACAAGCACAATCCCACACGTGAACACAACCACACATCAACTCAATCACAGACGAACACACATACCAACACAAACGCAAACACAAACACAAACACAAACGCAAAGGCAAGCCACACACCACACACCACACACACACTTTTTGAGTGCAGTTCGGATTTCTCGGATCGTTGCTGGGCCCCCTGGCGGCGCGTGAGTCGCCGCCGCGGGGGGTCCAGTGCCCATCCAAGAAGTGCGCGTTGACCTCCGAAATCTTATGTTGATCCGGTGGCTTATCTGCAGACGTCAGGCGACTCGGGATCAGTCGATCGCCTCCTCCTTGGCCATCTTCGCCCACTTGCGGTCCCTGGTAGGTCCTCCTGCGCATATCGTATGATGGGCCAATCTTCCACCACCACTACCATAGTCGTACTGGTTCTTCCTTTGGAGACGAAAATGGGCGCGCGCCGAAATCCAGTCCACATGAACTTTAGTTTTTTATGGTTTCCATGTGCAGGCGCGCCCTGCCGCGCGTGGGGTTTCCCGGTACATCTTAGAGCGAGCTGGACTTCACATAATACGAGGTATTCATTTTGCACGTTGCGCATGCCATCGTTTGCCAACCATGCGTGGCTTGAACTACTTCGCAGCTTTCTGGCGAGGCCCTTCGAGGGCCCTCTCAGGGCCCGCCGGGGCCGCCGAGTGCCGAGAGCTCCCGGCAGCCATTGTCAACAGTTGGCAAAAGCAACGCCGCCGAAGGGGCCGCCGAACGAGCCGTCGAAAGTGCCGCCGAAATTGCCGCCGAAAAGGCTGCCGAAAGAGCTGTCGAAAGGGCCGCTGGATTTGCCGCCGGAATCGCCGCCGAAATTGCGGCCGAAATTTCCTCCGAAATTCCGGATTGTGCCGCTGAGAAGAGGCCGAATTAGTGGCTGTGACTCTAGGCCTGTGTCCGCGGCGTTATCGTGCTTAATAAAACAGTGATCTCGCTTGGAACAAGGCAATGGTAATTTCGGCGACTGAATTTCGGCGGCTATTTCGGCGGCTGAATGTCGACGGGTCTTTTGACGGAGTTCGCAATTATTTCGGCGGCAATTTCGGCGGCAATTTCGGCGGCAAGTTCGGCGGCAAGCTCGGCGGCAAGTTCGGCGGCACTGTCGGCGGCAAGTTTGGCGGCGATTTCGGCGGCGATTTCGGCGGCAATTTCGGCGGCGATTTCGGCGACGATTTCGGCGGCCCTGCGGTTCTTTCGGCGGCCCTCGCGGCGGTCTTTTAATGACCATTTCTGCGGTTTTGTTTTGGGCAGCTGTCGACGAATGCTGCTGGGAGCCTGCAGGAATCAGCGGTGCCAAAGAGTTGATGTGCGGCGACGCAGGCTGACGTGCCCTCAGCGCGATGATGATCGTAACATTTGTTCTCTTGTGGTCTTGGCGGTGATAATGGCGACGGCCGCGGTTATGTTTGGTTCAGAATGGATGCTCGTCAAGGGGCTTTGCAGGCGGGCCTACGCGCCCAGCGCTGCGTGTTTTCAAACAGTAAGAATTTGCTGCGCAAATCGCTCGAAATTCGGCGGTTATTTTGGGGGTCGTGGTGGTTCCAAAGTATGGCCATCGGTGACCATAACAGGACAGGGGGAGAGGGAGCATGGGGAGGTCCTCATCTTCCTCCTCCTCTTCGTCGTCCTCCTCCTTTTCATACCTCAGGTAGTGGTGGTGTAACATCGTCCCATCATAGTAGTTGTACGTCCTTTCGCGTCCCAGCTGGGCTTCCTCCCCGTGGACCCCCCTCGTCTGGCGCCCCCGCGTGGGGGCAGGCTTTTTGTGCCCCGGGACCATCCGCGAACGGTTCGGGATTAGGCGGGTGCTAAGTCCACACAGTGTATGCCCATACGGAGTGCTCGGTCTCCATCAGGGTTTATGCCGTCTGGAATCCTGATAGGAGGTGGCTAAGTTCACGCGGTGTAAGTCCACGTGGGGTGCTCGGTCCCCATTTGGGCTTACTCCATATGAAAGGGCGCCGCGCTCTGTGGTCGCTTGGGGTGTGGGGGGGTGGAACCGGACCCCCTCCCCCTGGATGGCGGGGTGGGGGGGTTCGAACCCTCCCCCCCTCTCCCGTGACGGAGGGGGGGGTGTTCGAACCCCCCCCCCCCTTCGCGTGACGGAGGGTGGGGGGGGGTTCGACTCCCCCCCCCTTTGCTTCCCCTCTCCTCGGGCCAGCGCTGCGCTTGGGTCGGCGGCGGCTGGCGATGGCGGCGGGGACGATGATTTCCATTTCTTGGCCGGCGCGGCGGCGGGCGGCGGTGGCGGGGTGCGTCGACGAAGACGTCGGTAGTGGTGGTGGTGGTGGTGGTGGGTTGTGGTGGTGGTGGTGGCGGTGGTGGTGGTTGTGGTGGTGGTGTTGTGGTTGTGGCGGTGGGTGGTGGTGGTGGTGGTGGTGGTGGTTTTGTGGTGGTGTGGTGGTGGTTTGAGGTGGTGGTGGTGGTGGTGGTGGGTTGTGGTGGTGGTGGTGGTGGTGGCTTGGTGATAGTATGGTGGTGGTTATTGGTGGTGGTGGTGGGTTGTGGTTGTGGCGGTGGTTTGTGGAGGTGGTGTTTGTGGTGGTCGTGGTAGCGGTGGCGGTGGTGGTGTTGTGGTTTGTGGTGGTGGTGGTGGTGGTGGTGGGTTGTGCTGCTGGTAGTTGTGGTGGTTGTGGCGGTGGTGGTGGTGGTGGTGGTGGTGGTGGTGTGATTGATTGTGGTGGTGGTGGTGGTAGTAGTGGTGGGTTTTTGTGGTGGTGGTGGTGATGGTGAGTTGTGGTGGTGGTGGCGGTTGTGGTGGTGTGTTGGTGGTTTGTGGTGGTGGTGGTGGGGGGTTGTGGTGGTGGCGGTGGTTTGTGGTCGTTTGGTGTGGTGGAGGTGTTAGT